CCCCCTAGCTTGCTGCCCTGCCCGCTCCTGTAGCTCTCCACAGCTGGCTTGTACCTCGCTGGCCTACCCTCCTACTGATCCGTGATCTGGTCCTGACGCACTTGGTCATTACGCCTCAGGGCATAACAGCTATTTAACATGTTCCTCTCTTATTATATAGGATTACTGCTGCCATGACCCCAGGGTTCTGAAACAGGGTGATGGGCAGGGCCAGTGCTCAACCTATTGCCAAGTTCCTTGGCCATACCCCCCGGGTGACTTACAAAGTCACTGGAAGAAGCAGGCGTTCCTCTGTAGCCAACCTGGAGTGAAGGCTGGTGCCCACCAGGAGGGAGCCCCTTGAGCCTGGTGTATACATTTTCAGATCAGGAGGTTTGACATAAAGTTCTGGGTCTCTGGCTTCTCTTGCAACCTTGGGGGTCTGGTGCCATGAGGCCGGGTGACCTGCAGCTCTCGGCACTCCCTGGTGCCCCTGGCCCCCAGGCACATGATAGCACGACCCCCGAGTAACTCTGCTCTCCCCTCCCCTGCAGTCTCCACGACAGTTCTTTGCCAGAAGCTCATGCAAGTGGTCCCCCAGGAGACATAAGAGAGAGGAGCCGGGAAGCTGGCGGATGGAAAATACACAAAGATCATTTTAAAACAACTCACCCACCTAAAAGGCGACCCGTTCCATCATCCAGGCAGCTCAGCTGAGCGCCCCGCACTGTCCCTCCACCAGGTCAGGTGCCAGGGCCACTGTGAAAACTGGTACGAATTTAGTCCCAGAAGACGGACTTCTATCGATACCTCCTCCAGAGTGCGAGGCACGAATGTTGAACTGAGAAGAGGCTGCGCCTTCTGACAGACCGCGGACTTTTTCCATGTTGGGCCCTTGTCCTTTCCCACCTTTGTTTATTTGTGTTTTTTTCCTCCTTTTCTTTTGTATTATTTTTTAACTTAAATTTTGGGGTCAAGTTGACACCACCAAGATGATTATTTTTTAAAGAAATGGGGGAGGGCAGGTAGGGAGAATCGTGTCCCTTAACACTGCCAGCAGCGTGATGTGCCTCAGGGATCAGGTCCTGTCGTTGGGTGTGACCCCAGCACCAGCTTCAGGCGGAGGAGGGATTCTGAGAGCCGAACACTCCAGCTGCCAATAAGCTACCGAGACTCTGCCTCAGATTTGCACTGACAGATGTGTGCTTGGCTTCCTTAGGTTTTGTGTGTTTTTTGTTTTTTTGGTTAGTAGATGTAGTGACATTGGGAAAACTAACCTTGGGCTTATGTCTCTGCCTTAAAGACCTGAGGTCGATCCCTCCCTCCCTGACCCCTAAAAAGAAGAGAAAGTCTTACTGGAACAGCCGTCTTTGGAGAGGTTTGTTGGAGAGCAAAGGGCTTGAGAGGAGTCTGATACCAGCCCCAGCTCCACAGAAAGAGCCAGTTCCTGTGCCTGGTGTTTAGGTAGAGCTCCTGGTAGAGGTCATGGGCATCTGGACGATCCTAGAGGTCCTGCCAGGACGAGCAGAGCAAGGCCGGCTTCTGGGCTAGGCCCTTGTCATTCAGGCTCCTGAGTGTGCTTCTTGCCCTGCATGGCAGCCTGAGCAAAGGCACAAAGGCAGGAGGATTGGGCATCTCCGGTGGAGAGGGCCTCCCACGGGTGCTGCCTCCCGCCCTGTGCTGCATCATTTGGGAGCCAGCTCTACTTCTCTCAGACAAAGCCCCAGGCATGAGGCCTGGAAAGAGATGTGACAGGAAGGCAGATGCCAAGACCCCTGATGGGCTTCTCATTCAGGTCCCCAAGGCAGCCCCTCCCAGGGTCCGCAGAATGGGCCTCCATGGCTGGATGGCAACCCCCAGGGGCTGTCTGGGGCTGGCTTCCAGCTCCTGGCCAGGGCGCCCTCCTCCCCTCCTGCCACCAACGTGGCCTGCTCCAGACTGGATCCCAG